GTATTATAAATTTTTTTCTAGCTCAGGCTATCAATCCCTGCTAAATCTTATAGTTTTGCTGAGGCCAGGTTTGAAAAAAGTTATATAGATAACTGAAAAAGTTATGATTTATTGATAGTTTATTTTTGAATTTAAATTTTATTAGTATGTAGACTTTGACTACGCTTTTATTTTAATAGTATCCATCAAACTAATATTTAAGAAGATAAAACAACAGTATTCAATATAAAAACAAGTAAGAGGTTCATAAAAGTGGGAAATCAAAAATGCTTGAAGCAGTTGTTGAGTAGTTAAAAGAAGAATTCAAAATAAGAACTCAAGTTAAAGAAGAATTGAGAGTGAGAAAAAAATATCCACTGAAGTATATGTAAATAAAATGTCTAAAAATAGATTACATAACATCCTGACATAACAAACTTGTATTTAGATGATTTAGATTTAAAAAAGTTAATCACAGATGATTTAGATTTAAAAAAGTTAATCACATGTGATTTAGATTTAAAAAAGTTAATCGCAGATGATTTAGATTTAAAAAAGTTAATCACAGATGGTTTAGATTTAAAAAAGTTAATCACAGGTGATTTAGATTTAAAAAAGTTAATCGCAGATGATTTAGATTTAAAAAAGTTAATCGCAGATGATTTAGATTTAAAAAAGTTAATCACAGATGATTTAAATTTAAAAAAGTTAATCGCAGATGATTTAGATTTAAAAAAGTTAATCACAGATGATTTAGATTTAAAAAAGTTAATCGCAGATGATTTAGATTTAAAAAAGTTAATCACAGATAATTTAAATTTAAAAAAGTTAACCACAGATGATTTAGATTTAAAAATGTTAATCGCAGATGATTTAGATTTAAAAAAGTTAATTGCAGATGATTTAGATTTAAAAAAGTTAATTGCAGATGATTTAGATTTAAAAAAGTTAATCACAGATGATTTAGATTTAAAAAAGTTAATCACAGATGATTTAGATTTAAAAAAGTTAATCACAGATGATTTAGATTTAAAAAAGTTAATCACAGATGATTTAGATTTAAAAAAGTTAATCACAGATGATTTAGATTTAAAAATGTTAATCGCAGATGATTTAGATTTAAAAAAGTTAATCACAGATGATTTAGATTTAAAAAAGTTGATTGCAGACAACTTAGATTTAAAAAATTTAATCGCAGACAATTTAGATTTAAAAAAGATATTTGCAGACAATTTAGATTTAAAAAAATTAATCGCAGGCAATTTTGATTTTAAAAAATTAATCGCAGGCAATTTAGATTTAAAAAAGTTAATCGCAGGCAATTTTGATTTAAAAAAATTAATCTCAGACAATTTAGATTTAAAAAATTTAATCGCAGACGATTTAGATTAAAAAAAAATTGTCTTTATTAGACAAAACTCAAAATGACAAACTTAAATCATTGAAGCTTATTATAACCACCATTCTTGATGCAATGCCTTAAAAAAACCACCATTCTTGATGCAGTACCTTAAAACTTTATTCATTGGAGAAGATTATTTTGTTTCTCATATTCTCAGATTTTTTCTATATAAAAGTAAAACTTTTTAATGAATCAACCATGAGTTTGAAAATATTTGGTAATTCAGACATTTTTAATATACAAGTTAATAATATTGGTATATCATAATTTCCTTTTTTTTTTATTAAATCACTCCCAACAAGACTCTGAGCAAGATTCTAAGCAACTCTTTTAAAGTTATGAATTATTAAGTAGTAAAGTGAATATTTAGTGATACAGTTGTTTTATTATTATACTTAGTTATTATCAAAATATATAAAACTTATTACAATAGTTTATTAAAACTTAATTAGTAAGTCGCTATAGATAGATATACCACAAATAACTTCAAACTTATTAAAAATAATGTTTTCACTACCATCTGAACTTAAAGTACGGTTTAACTTTAATGGTAATTTAATGTTGGGAAGCTGAATAAATGCAAATTTTATAAGTGCAAATTAGCATAAGTGCAAAGCAATTGCAAAAACTGGAAAAAGTCCAAACTGTCATGAGTGCGTAGCATAATTTGGCTTATATTTGTACTGTCATAAGTGCACCAAAAATATTTGAAAACATTTGCATTGGGTTTGCACTTATATCTTTGCAACTAATCTTTGCAACTGCTTCGCATTTATGGCAATTTGTACTTATGCCAACCTTTGCAAATTCTTCCTGCGCACTTCTGTTAATTCACATTTATGCCAGTGCAAATTAGCAAGTTTACACTTATGCTAATTCACACTTATGAAGTTTGCACTTATTCAGATTCCCCTTTTTTATTAATGTATGTTTCAAAGCAAATTTCAAAAAAAAAATTAAATGCTCTTAAAAAGATTAAATTAGTGAAGGGTTAATACTTTTCAGTGAAAGGCTGATTGACATGGATTAACCATTACAGGTGTCTAATAGCACCGGTGATGATTTATCTCCACCAAAGAAATGTAAATAAAAATGATCAAACCAGTTTCTAAAGAAAATATGCACACGCATGAAGATGTGGAAAAGATCTAATTGCAAATGAATTAGTTTTTAGATAAAATTGTTTGCTTAAATAAGACAGTAAACCCTTACAAGTTGTGGTCAGAAAATAGAAAACATTATCCTAATAAAACTTGCTAAATTTTTCTTATTATTTGCCAGTGGCAAATAGTTTGCAGTATTCTGCTAAATACCAAATAGTGGAAAAGTAGTCAAATAGTGGAAAAGTAGTCAAATAGAATACTGAATAGTCACAGAATATTTATGACATCGTTTGTAAGGTTTTTAAATGTTGACCTAAATTTAAATTTTACAAACTTTTTTTTAATTAAATTTTTTTCTAAATCACAATTAAAATAATAGCTTAAAAATGCAAAAAAAAAGTTTGTTATGAAAAGTTAGTAATTTATTTGCATAAAAATGCTATAGAATTACCTAATAAAAAGTTGAAAAAAATATTCAAATGATATCCAAATTATAATGGAGCTAAATTATATAAATTATAATGGAGCTAAATTTACATAATTCAAATAAAAATTGAATATTGGTAACTCTACAAACTGTGATAATAGTTTGTATATAATTTTACATACATATGTACATTTATTATAAAGAAGTATTAGTATATCTAATGATTGCAATATTTACAAATTATGTTCTTTAACAGGGTGTTAACTAGAAACAAATTTGATACAGCATTTTGATGAAACTTGGAATTTGTCAAAAAATATACCCCCAAATTTCCCAAATATAAAATATATAAAAAGCCTCCCCTCCGATGAGATTAAAAAGTGTACCAGAAATGTATGGGATCCTTTATATATATTCTTTCTTCTTCTACTCCACTTTAGCGCTGCATACATTGATTCGATGGCGCCAAAAATAAAACAAAATACCTTCTGTAACATTTATTGAAGTCGAATATGAAATCAACTTAAAATTAAACGACAAGGCAAATTAAACTCCAATTTCTAAAGATATATTTAGAAATAAATATTTTTATATTATAAAATAATTAGTGTGTATTAATTAATTATTATTATGAATAATACATTTGATTTACTTTTAATCTTATTATATTGTTGCCGTTTTCATGTTAAGAGTATTCTTTTGAATATATATATATTTTTCACTAACGGATGTTAAAGGGCGGTTTTTAAAGTAATATAACTACTTCTATTATTATTTTTATTTAATTATTATTTAAATTCTGTTTATTCTTCTTATTATTCAAATTCTGTTTGGCGTTCGTTATGGACAAATCCTTACACCATCATGTAATAAATTGTGTCATCAAAAGAAATGTTTTAAAAATAGAAAAATAAAAAAGGTTTTGAAAAAATTTAACACAAGCTTGTAAATTTCATATTTCACATTTATTGCAAGTTCAATTTAATACCTAATATTAACTTTCTTTATATATAAATTGCACAGCGAAATAAAGTTACAATTACAAAGTCTCAGCAAAAACAACACCAAATGTCGTTTAACTACAAAAGAATTACGAAAGATTGCAAGCGATTACATGCTACCATGGCAACAAAGAGTACCAATAATTATTTTTTCATGCATAGTCATAAAATGTTATTATGATTATGGTTCATTGAAACATAAAAATTTGCTTTTATGTTTTAAATTCAAGCAAGCAGTGAATCTAGTTTTCTTGTTTTTTAAAATTCTAGTGCCAGTTTATTGTAATAAAAAAAAAAACAGTCTTATTATTAAAGGTATTTAATTTACGTTTTAATATACGTATTTAATTTACTTTTTAAATATAAGAAACCAGTAAAGTAAAGAAATCTATTTTCCTCATTAAATAAATTTCTAGAACCAGTTTGTTATAATCAAAAAACAATCATTTAACTTATTTAATTTTTCAGCCAAAAAGGGCAAAACTCTTAAAGAAATAGCATTTGTGGGTATTAAACCAAACAAATTTGTAATTTTTTAAATTGTACTTTATTTTTTGTTTACTTTTTTTTATAATACTTGCTGTTATTGGAATGCATTGCAAAAAATTATTTGCAAATTTTGAGAAATAAATTTTTTTTTCTAGCGATTTTAGGGATTTTCATAAAATCCCAATTCTCAAAAAGTTCTTTTCCAAGAGACATTTTTGCAGTTATGCAAGCGTGTAGTTATACCAATATCGGCAATTTTATTTCAAGTTTTAAACAATAAATTGTAATTTTTATGTTATTTTTCTATTAGTTTTTATTAGTAATTAATATTCAATAATTTTCAGAATTATTGTTAAATTTTAATTTGGCAAACTTTAATTGAGGAATGATATTTTTTCACTTTTAAATTGGGAATTTTAATTTTATGAGCATTTGGGAATACCGCGTTTGACGGGTCCCCACAGGGCTAGTTTACACCATGATTAATGTAGCAACTTTTATTTTTTAATTTTTTATTTATTTTCTATATCTAATCTTTTTAGTTCAATTTTAATTTTAACATTATTATGTTGTTGTTTTAACTTTATTTGTTTTATCAGCTGCTGCTACTGGCACTATCTCTGCTTGTCATTTTGTCAAGCCAATAAGTTGTGCATATTATGAACCTTGTTTTTTGGGTAACTATTTTTTTTAATTTATTTTATTCGCATTTTCTTGTGTTGAAAAAAAAAATTTATTAGTGCTACTACTTCATGTAAAACTTAAATTGATAAAACATTACTTCTTCCCTAGAAAATAAATGTTAATTATTTATGTAATAAGAAGTAAATTGATAAAACATTACTTCTTCCCTAGAAAATAAATGTTAATTATTTATGTAATAAGAAGTAAAATTATTATTAAATTAGTTTATTTTTGTAATGAAATAAAAAAAAGAACTTTAGTTTAAATTAAACATTTTCAAATTAAACTGCACAAAAACTAATGCAAGAACAGTACTGCCAAAATTTTTATGTATTTTTCCAATTTCAATAAAATATTCCAATTTCAGACAGATTCAATTATTTTTTATTTTATTTTTTGAATTTCCATATAAGTAAAATGCATATACCATCTTGTATCTCAATTATGTAAAGATTGTCCTTCAAAATTGTTTGTTTTTTAAATTGAGTAGTCCTAAAGCGGGGGGTAAGAAGATGAAAAGACATTTGTAACTAATAGTAAACTTATGGAAACAACTGAGAGATGAAATCTACACTGTGTATATTACATTTAAAACCATGATTGAATGCTTGGTTTAGCTGTAGATCAGTAGTGAAAATATTAAAGAACTTTGTCAAAGTTTGATTTTGTATATGTCTAACCTTAAAATTAGGTAATGGAATTAAGTACTGAAATGTTTGGTAAGCTATTTAAGAATGATTAAATTTGTTATTTTGACTTTTTCATAAAAATAAAGCAAAAGTATTGAAAAACTTAAAAATTCTATTACAATTTTAGCAGTAATGTATATTTTTTTGATTAGGTGTTGTCCATAAAGTATGTACACAAAAAAATTTGAAGTATATGCTTTTAATTTTCTTTATGCTTTGCATATGCTATGACCACTATTCTGTTAGTTTTTAATTTATCCACTATCTCAAAATCATTCTTGTTTCAGATCAACATTTTTGTTTTAGATGATAAGCTCATTTAAAGATTTATTTTAAAACTGCTTGAATTCTTTTTATTAACACACAGCAACATTATTTTATAAAGGGTAACAATTTAAAACTGTTATGTTCTATTGAAATTTATATATATAGTTTTAACTTTTTAAATTAAAACTAATACTATTTATAATCAAGTAGTTGTTATTTGTTGTTATAGTAATTATGTTGGACGTATGTTAAAGTAATAATGCTAGTTGTTATAACGTTGTTAGTTATTAAATTGTTGTTTATTAAAGTATTTTTAATGTTAAAACATTGTCGTTAGTTATTAAATTACTAGTTTTGGTTCTTAAATTATTGATGATTTCAAAAATGTTTTAAAGTTAAAATATTTCAATTTTTAGAAAGAAAAAAAACTTCTATTGAAAATGGACTCAAATCTGGTAAGCATTTTATATTTAACTAAGTTGCCTTTAAATAATAACTAAATTAAATTAAGCTTAGTTTAGTTATTATTTAAATATTTTAACAAATTGTTTTTGCTTTATTCACTTAAAGTAAAATTAATTTTTTGTTACTTTGAATTTGAATTGGTGAATCATAAAACAGTCTTTAAAAAAGATTGTAAAACATGAGTTTAGATAAGTTGTTCAAAAACCTTTTTTACATTTTTTGTTTACATTATTGTTGTTTTTTTGTATATTTTACTATATTTATGTTATATACTTTTTAAAATTCAAATGTTACTATTTAATTGTAACATTAGAACGATAAAATATAAACAAAATAAAAACATTCTTTTTTTTTTCAAAAATAAATTAATATTAAAGTTATTGATGTTTGTTACCAATGATATTTCAGGATTAACCAGTGATATTTAAGGATTCACCAATGATAATTCAATAATAACCAATGATATTTCAGGATTCACCAATGATATTTCAGAGGGCCTCATAAAAAAGAGTTGTAATCTTTATTATCACCTGAAGCCTACATCATATAAGTCATTATTGTAATAAAGCAGACCTTAATACAAAAAAGCCTAACACTTAAACCTCTCATGAATTTGTGCAACAACTATAATTTTTAGAAAAATATAAATGTAGATAAAAACATACTTAAAATATACAATACACAATATTTAAACGGTAAAATGATCTACATAATACAATAGTTTTCCCAATATCTAATTATATTCATCTAATAATAAACAATAAAGGTTATAAGATAAGCAACTTACCATATTCAATGAGTAAATATAAAAGTAAAAATATTATACAAACAAACTGTATCTACATTTGCACAAACCAAAAGTAAATACAAAAATCAATGAACTTTTTTCTTTAAGTTCATAGCAATGAGCATTGATCTGATGTGCATTGTGGAGCTTCTGAATGAATGTATGCTTGAATGTATGGCACAGTTAAAATCTTAATATCTGTATTGTAATAGTGGAGTACATTCGGGGAGGTCAAGGTTCACCAGTCACATATAATACAATTTGTTTCTGCAACACTATGTTTACATACAGGTGACCAATGGATTTGTCTAGTTAGGTAGACATGGGAGATGTAATTCTAAGAAATAATATATATATATATATATATATATATATATATATATATATATATATATATATATATATATATATATATATATATTTAAATTTTTGTCAAGGTTTAGTTATTACCAACCAATATTTATAGAAATAAGTAAAATTCTGAATTTACTAGTCTAACTTTTTAGTTTTGAATTATTAAATGTAAAGTAAAGCAATATGTATTGTTCAGTAAGTTAAAAATCAACTTTTGTTTACAAGTTTTATTTACAAAACTTACCATGTTTTTCTCTAATTTTATAAACTGGGGTGCAAGGTACATATATAAACGGTTGCAAACATTAAATGTGAATTTACTATTTATGAACTGTTTTGTTTATAGTTGCTTATATGCCTTTTTTTATAACTTATATAAAAAAAATTATTTATTTTAGTTTTCGACTGCTTTTTTAAAGATGAAAAATTTGAGAGACCTTTTCTAGATGGTCGTTCGTTTGTTTTTTTAAACAAAACATCGAATGAAGATTTGATAAACAACACTTTAGAATTTCTTGTAGAAAACCAGCACTCAGTAAGTTTACATGTTTACAAAATATTTTATTACTTTATGCAAATCTTTTAATTTTGTTGTTGTTGTTGTGAAACAATCTTTAGTAGATGTTGATTTTTTCGTTGTGTAAAAAGTTATGGAAGGTGTTGATTTTTTTGTTGTGAAATAATGTTCATGAGATAATAGTTCCTTTTAATTAGTTTTTAAATTTTTTATGCTTTGCATTGTGGGCTTTCTTGTGTGGAAAAAAAATAGGGTTTACAGAAATATCGGAGTCGCTATTTTCAAAATAAAAAAATAAAAAAAAGTTACCAACATCCACCTATATAATTATATTTATATTATATTTGAAATTTAAACTTTGAGGATGCGTTTGTTACTGCAAAAAATAGTCTATACACTGCTGTTAAACTTGGATTTTTGCTGAATTGTTTGGATTGTTAATTGTTATTGATTTTTTTGGATTGTTTATAAATTGTAAGTCTTGTTTTTCATAACGAGAATAGGTAAGACCTGGTAACTAATCTGTTTTCTAGAATTTCTAGAGTCAGTTAATAGAATTTATAAATTAATAAAGTTAATAAAAAGCCAGTACTTGAAAAAAAAAAAAGAATTCTAAAATTTGAAAATTATTTTGATTTTGATAAAAATAAGTTTTAAAATTTTTTTATTTTAAGATATTATAATAGATACAATCATTTGAATTTGATGTTTTATAAAAAGTTAAAACATACTTATAAAGCCTTGAACAGAGGTTTCTTTATCAGTCTACTTTAGACCTAGCTTAATCTATTTAAATTTATGGAATAAAAAAGCATACAGCTAATAAATGTATTTTTTACTATTATGTCTGTGCATTGGCTAGAAATTTGTTTTTAATTTAATATTTTAATATGTTATTTTATCACTTGTTTTAATTTAATGAGTCTAATGATAGACGGATAATTTAGGACGGATATTGGGAGCTTGAAGATATTTTTCAAGATCAACAGTCTACCATATCGTTCGATATACTTTTTGTGGATGTTTGCAGAAAACTTGCATTATCATTATGTGGTAAGCAATCATATTTTTCTCTTTTTTTTCTTTTCATTTTGCATCTGCGATGCAATTCAATTTTCTTTAACTAAAAAACTTTAGGGGAAAAATATTCTTCTGAGATTCAGCGTTTAATTGCCACAATTATTGTCTGCGTCATATTTAAGCTTGCACTTAGTAATGATAAAGCTCTTTGGTCTTATCCGTATCATCTTCGTGAAAGTAATTTGAAAGCATCAGATAAGTTAACGAGCGCATTTTTTAAAGGAAAAAGTTATATTTTACATGAGGATTGTAAATTTCCCTCTATTCATACCCGTTTGGGACTGGGTTATAGCTTAGAAGAGATGACATTTCAAGTTTACCGATTAGCTTCACAAAGTTTTGATAAACGTATGGAACTGCGACTTTAATAGAAGCAATTAACAAATGCTTTAACAGGCGGTTGATACTTGAACCCGGTTGAAACTTTGTACTTGAAATATTTTTGTTATTATTGTCTTGAAATATTTTTGTTATTATTGTCTTATTCAATTTTTATTTATATTTGCATACATTTTTTTTATATAAATTTTTTAAGTGCAGATAATTTTACAAAAAAATGGAACTATTGTTTGCAACATTTAGACTTTGGTTTGAATGTTGCACTAGTGTCTTTTAATGTTTAATGTGCAATTTTAATGTTTAAATAATATTAATACTGAAATTTAAAACACAAAATGACTAGTTAGGCACCATAGTTAAAGGTTTTTGCTAAATGTTTTTATTTTTTTATTTTTTTTTTTTATTTCATCACTTGTAGATTATTTACGCTATTGAACAATTTTAACGTGTATCATTTTTAATAAGAGACGTTTGCTGATGATGGTTTTTTTTTTGTTTTTTTTTTGTTTTTTTATTTTTGTTATTACTCATACTCAATTAGTGTCATGGCTCACACCAATAAAATTCAGAGTGAAGAAAACTTAAAAAGAAAAATTAAATTACTAAAAAATTGAATGAACAAGAAACGCACATCTTGTGGAAAGTAGGGTATTACCTTAAACGTAGTAATAATAGAAGGCGTTAGAATTATATTTCAATATATTTATTTATACGATATAAAGAAACGTTTTGTTTTTTATTATATTTTAAAACATCACAAAAAATCAAATATAATGAAAAAATTATAAATTAACTTTAACTAAACCTCTCGTTTACAATTCGCAAATTTGAAAAAAGGTTTGAAATGATTAGCGCAATACTAAATATCACCAACTAGAACTTAGTCTTCTGACTCAAAACTTGTGGTAGTAGGTATTATTACTAGCTTGATTATTCCTATTTATATTTATATATAAAATTAAATTTATTTGTTATTTTTTACTGTTTTATTTAAAATTGCCTCCTTTTTTTCAGTTTTAACTCGCTACAACATTAACAACAACTACTATTACTACTAGTATTAGGTTTTTACAATCTTTCGGTTTCACAAAGGGATTTACACTTTAGAAAATTGTTCACAAACTTGTTTTATAAAAAAGTTCAGTGAAGCAGTAAAGTATCGTCTTTATATGAAACTTGAAAAAGAGGACATGTCCTACAAAAATTCACATAAAGTGTCTCTTTTTTCAAATTAGCGATTCATATACAAACTTTTTTTCCATTAATTTTATTAAAACTCGATATTTTTGTAATTGATTACCAATAATAACTAACAGTAAACGAACTGTTAAACAGTTATAAGAAATAATAACTTTGTAAATAAGTTAATGATTTTTCATAAATAATTCGTAAAAAATGCAGAATAAAAAATGAATTAAGTTTTTTTTTGTTTTTTTTTTTTTTTTGTTCTTACCGTTGATTTCAAAATTTATTTTATAATTTTATTTTTGTATAAATAAATCCCTGCCAAAATTCGATAAGAAATCAATTATTAACTACAGCAAAATTATATACAAATAAAAATGAAAAAACTTTTTTGCAGAGAAAAAAATTAAAATAGAAAGCTTTTTTTTTTTTCTTTTTTTTTTTTTTTTTTTAAAAAAAGGCAAAAAGTTTAACAATCACGCAAGTGAAAGAACAATTAGAAGCTCGTGAAAATAATTTATTAAAAATCTTTGGAGAGAAAATAGACAATTAAAAAATTTAAAAAAGACAAACTTGAATGGAAAATAGACAATTAAATAAAGATAAACTTGAAGGGGAAATAGAGCAATTAAAAAATGAAAACATATCACTAAAAAATGAAATTGCTACGTTAAACAACGGGATGAAATTTCAAAATGAATATTACAAAAAAACCATAAAAGAAACGAACTTTAAAAAAAAAGACGGATTATTAATTGAAAATTAAGGATTGTTCATTGGAAACTGCATCTATCAGGAAAAAACTGTTCGAGCAAATGAAGATACACAGGAACAATGGTATGTTTTCGGTTTTAATTTGCGATAGATTAGTAAAAGAATATTGTAAAATAGTAAAAAGAATTCAGGAAATTACCTACAAATCTTTAATTATTTTATGGAAGATATGAATTTTCGCGAATTAAGCTTTAAGGCTTTTCAAAGAAATAAAAATATACTTTTAGAGAATCATTTTTTTCTTTGTTATTATTTTAGGTGCCCCAAGAAGACCTAACGATTTTGTCTCAGAGCACCGCGGAAGTGCATTTAACCAGGAAGTTTACGTCTTCTTCCTTACCGTGACGCGAAAATATGTCGAGAGCTCGTTTCGAACCTGGATCTCCTGCTTATAAAAGCAAGTGCTGTAACCACTGCGTCACGGCCGCAAAATCAATCAAAACCAGATTTTAATTTTTTTAATATAATTAGCAATATATGCACTTCTTATTATAATTCTAATATTACTAATCTTACTGCAGATATAAATATTAATGCATTCGCTATTTTACACCTAAATATTAGGAGTTTTTAAAAAATATTTTGATAGATTTAAAAAATTTTTTAGTTAGCGTTATAAACGAATTTAGTTATGATTGTGACGTTTCATTAACGATTAAAGTTATAAATAAAATCACTAAACAATAACAAATTTTTTGAAAAACACTTTAAAAATTTAATTTAAAGCAAAACTTTAAGTACTCATTTATAATTGGCTGGAAACCTAAGGGGATTGATTCGGTGCATAAAAAGAAGGTTTTCTTCGTAAAAACTTATTTGAACTTAAAACTTATTTAAACTAAAACATTTATAAACCCCTGGATTACATCAAGAATAATAAAATAATCAAAAAAAAAAAAAAACGATTGTATAAAGTATTTCTAAAAACAGAACTTATGAAAATGAATTAAGGTATAAAAAATATAAAGGTTACTTTGAATCATTTATAAAACTTTCAAAGTAGTTAACTACTCAAATAAAATAATAAAATTCAAAGACGATACTCAAAAAACGTGGCAAGCCATCAAAGAAGTAATTGAAAAAAAAACACATAAGCAAAATGGTCTTCCAAAAAAACTAAATTATTATCATCAAGATATTACAAAAGAATCTATAATTGCTAAAACATTTAATGAGGTGTTTGTCAATGCAGGTTTAAATTTGGCATCAAAATCGAAACACACTGAGCTTAAAATTGAAAAATACTTGACTCCTAGCAAATCAATAATGGAAAATACTGATTTAACTGAAAAAAAGTTATTAGATGCTGTGCGTTTATTGAAATTAAACAAAACACAATGATTTTATAATGTTAACAGTGATGTTATAATTAAATATATTTTCTATATTAAAAAAATTAATTTGTATATATTTAATCTTTCGTTTAAACAAGGAATCTTTCCAAAAAAACTTGAAATAGCAAGGTTAATACTAGTTTTTAAATCTCAAAATGATACTTATATTTCTAACTATAGACCTATTTCCCATCTTTCTTGCTCATTGAAAATACTAGAACGCATTATGTATAACAAATTATACTCATTTCTAGAGAAAAATAATATTCTTTATAACAAACAATTTGGCTACAAAACAAGGCACTCTACTGATCATGCCATTCTTCATCTCATTCAGATTATTTTTCAAGGTTTTGACAAAACAAGTTCACAGAAAACACGAAAAAATAATCAAAAGAAGTGATTGTAAACAAAATTCCAGAAGTAAGTGTAAACAACATGATGAAATAATATAAATATTAACATATATATAATATATATATATATATATATATATATATATATATATATATATATATATATATATATATATATATATATATATATATATATATATATATATGTATAATATATATATAAAAAGGCCTCCAAAAACAGAAGTCTTAATCCGCCACTGTATATATATATATATATATATATATATATATATATATATATATATATATATATATATATATATATATATATATATATATATATATATATATATATATATATATATATATATATATATATATATATATATATATATATATATATATATATATATATATATATATATATATATATATATATATATATATATATATATATATATATATATATATATTATATATACATATATATATATATATATATATATATATATATATATATATATATATATATATATATATATATATATATATATATATATATATATATATATATATATATATATATATATATATATATATATACACATTATATATATATATTATTTATATAAATTATTTATATAAATTATATATATATATAATATATATAAATAATTTATATATATATTATATATGTATTTTATATATATTATATATATATATATATATATATATATTTTATTTATATATATTTAAACAATTTTAAACAAATTTGAACTAAAATTTGACCCTGAAAAAAAGCGTACAAAAAAGCGAAAACCCCCCATATACCAAAAATGTTTCCACTAACATAGGTATAGTGTTTTTAAAATTGGTCGATAAGCATTTCCCGCCCTCTAAGAAATTACATAAAATTTTTAATCGAAATACAATTAAAGTTAGCTACAGTTGCACAAAAAATATGGAAAGAATTAAAAAAGATCACAATAATGCTTTGTTAAACAAAAAAGAAATCCTAAATGAAAAAACTACAGAAAATTGTAATTGTAAACAAAAAAACAGTTGTCCAATGAGTGGAAGTTGTTTATCCAAAAATGTGGTATATAAATGTGTTGTTTCTTCTAAGAGTGCACCTGATAAACAATATATTGGCATAACAGAGGGTGAATGGAAAAAAACGTTTTGCCAATCATAAGCAATCCTTTAAAAATAAAAAGTATTCAAAAGACACCATGCTGTCAAAATATATATGGGAATTAAAAGATAAAAATATTGATGATTTTATAATGAATTGGTCCATCCTTAAAACAGCACCTGCATATAACAATATTTCCAAAAAGTGCATACTATGTCTACAAGAAAAATTTGAAATTATTACACATGCAAACCAAGAATGTTTATTAAACAAAAAATCAGAATTAATTTCTAAACGCAGGCACGAAAATAAGTTTCTCCTAAAAAACTATAAAAATTTAATTTTTTGGTATAAATTGAAGTTTTATTAATTTGATCACTCATTTCTGATGAGTCTTTATTGATGAAACACAGTGTTAAATGTGTTTAAAAAAAGCATTTTGTCAAGTGATTTTCTACTACTTTATTTAATAGGAAGTTCACGCCTTCTTCCCAACTGATGGCCCAGAGGTGGGGTTTGAACCACGGATATTACGCTTCTGAGGCAAGTGCGCTACCACTGCGCCACGGCTGCTTTAAATTAACTTTTATGTTTTTTTTTTTTATCTTTTTTTTTTGTTGTTGTTGTTGGTTTCTGTTTTCTTGAATGAGTTTTTAAAACTTTCTTTTAATAAATAAATTTGAAATTTAAATATATATCATTGCATGACCGTATGTTAACGTTCATGTTGTTGTTATTAAAAAATGTCCTTAACTTTTATTAAAAATAAGTTTGATAGACTCTATTAGAGTCACTTTATTGAACTATTTTGCATTTTTTTATTTTTTTTATTTATTTTTTGTTATTTGTTATTTTAAGTACCCTAAGAAGTCCTAACAGTCTTGTCACAGAGCACCGCAGAAGTGCATTTATATAACCTTCTTTGAAACATTTTGCTTTTTTCTCTCATTTTAAATTTAATTACAGCTTTTTTATATAAATGTCTAGTAAAAACAAGGAACTTGGTGATAAGACAAACCTGTCGTTTTCTTGTCCTTGCCATCTTTATGTATATTATAAAACACGGAACTTGTAAATATTTGTACGGCTTATTAAATGAATTATAAAAAAGAAAGAAAAAAAACAAATCATGACAAAAAAGCGAGTCGAAGGTAAAATACTTTATGACAAATATGACATTCAAATAGAAAGGGCCCACAGAACTGGAAAAAAAAACGAATCTTGATAAAAAAAGAGACGAACAAAGATATAAATTTTTTTAGTTATATACACGGACAGTTTATATCATTACCCCAGCACTATAAAAGAATTTCTTTTTAAAAATGTAAATAATATAAAGGGCCATCTTTATACTACATACGCAAAAATCGACAGATTTTGACCCATCTCTCTCCCCCTCTGTTGCAACTAGTACATTTTGTGTTCTTTTCTCCCTTCCCCCACGTTGCCTGACCTCTGCCCCTCCCCACCCTTATATAAGTTTTATATGCTTGATAGTCTAACCCCCTCCTCCCCATTTTATTCACGCACGCGAATTACAATTTTTTTGCGTTGTTTAACCTTTATAACCTTAACAGGCCATGAAAATGAGTGGCGTTCACCTTTTATTGGGCATAAGTGAACGTTTTTATTTGGCAAGTGAACGTGAACCACCTTAATTTTTTGCGTTTTTATTTGGCAAGTGAATGTGAACCACTTTAATTTTTTGCGTTTGCATACACACATTTGGACCCTCCCCCCACATCTCTATCCCCATACGCACTCATACGTATGTCACTTTGAGACATACCCTCTCATCCCTTGGTGCATACATAATACATTGATGGCTCCTAATCAGTGAAAGAATCAGAATCCTCTACATTAATATAAGAAGTTTAAACAAAAATAAATAAAACTTTCTACATTTTCTAGAAAAAACTGAAAACATTTTTAGTATTATATGTGTTAGGAAAACTTGGTGCTCTTCTTTCGAAAATAATTCTAATTTTTATATTAAAAATTTTTAATTATCTTCATTAGAAAGACAAACAAATAAACGCGGTGGTGGAGTTCTGATATGTATTAAAGAAAAAATTGCACATAAAGTTATAAACGGTTTGAGCGTTTCTGACAAAGATAAAGAGATTGGAACAATTAAATTAGTTATTAAAAAGGAAAAAACATACTTATAAGCAGCTGCTATAAGCCATCTGACGGTGCGCGCAAAAATTTTTGCATTTAATAGCAAACTATATCATAATATAGTTCACGCTGACAACAACAAAAGGAAAAAAACTTTATAATAAGGGATTTTAATATGGATTTTTATATTTATAAAAATGATAAAAAAGTGAGTGAAAAAAGTTATTTTTTAGCAAAAAGTATAGTAAGTAGCAGTTCCCCAATCATCCAACTAGAGTAACAAAAAATTCTCCCTAATCTCCCGCTATCTTTACTAGAGACATCTTTAATAACTCCATCCAAAAAGGTAAAAACTGATATATCGGACCACTTCCCTATTTTCATAACCTTTTAGACAAAATTGAACTGTAAAAAAACGTATTTACAACAACAATAAAATAAATGATTTTAAACATCAACCATCTATCGGGGGCATATCAAATTTAATGACTATGCAAGTAAGATTCAGAGCCAACGACACGGGGAGGAGGAGAGGGGGCCAAGAAACACGTTTCTTTCTCCCCCATTTTTTCTAAAATGCTTTTTTTTTTTTTAAGAAAAATCAAGATATAAAAGACTTTTTTTAAAAATTGACGATTGTGCTCTCCCACTTCGTAACCAGTGTTGTCGACCCTGTTTATTAACTACAATATAAAACTTCTTTTCAAATCAAATCAAATCAATATATTTCGAAATAAGTTATAACATTTCAAGGAAATAGTACAAGTACTAATATAAAGTAAATACCTAAATATATAACGTAACGTTATAGTCATTGATGAAAGTAATAATAATAACTGATATTGATAATAATAATAACAATAATAATAATAATAATAATAATAATAATAATAATATAATAATGATAGTAATAATAATAAAAATAATAACAATAATGTTTTATCCTTTTGACCCTCACAATGTTCATGCAAAAATAAAGTAAGTAACAGTGACGGATCCAGGGAAAGAAAAAGGAAAGGGATAGAGTTATCCACCCCCAATTAGAATCGATATCGTCCTAAATTATCTTACAAATGGAAGAGCTCTTGTTTTTTCTTTAGGAGGTGCAAATGTGATACAGGATACAAAAAAATTTTGACTTCATTCCCCCCCCCCCCACCCACCTCCCGAAAAAATCCTGGATTCGTCACTGGTAAGAGATATATTGTGGTTTAAAATGCTGATTTTGTTACTAACTTTGATAACACTGGTCAACTCGAACTTTTATTATTTAGAACTGTTACATTTGATCCTTTGAAATTGTCTATTCGATTACTATAGATATTCTCTAGTTAAACATCAGATAACTCGAACTTTATTAGTCGAATCATTTTTTTGTCCCCTTTCAGCAAATTTCTTCGAATAATTTGAAACTTTTTTATTATTTTTTACTTACTTTTAACTTATTTTACTATACTATTAAAACTATATAGTAAAAGTTATATACTTTAAAAAGTAACTTATTTGATGTAAAATAAAACTTTTGGGCTTTATGTACATATTATCTTAACTTATCTTTAACGAAAAACGCCACTAGCTTTATTGCAGGCGTTTTTCGCTAAAGACATTAAAAAATTACGTAATTTTACTTAGAGGGGGAGGAAGAAGGAGTAGCATCTATAAAGTACGTAATATGATAATACGTACTTTATTATCCCTCCCCCCCCCCCCTCATAAAGTTAGTACACAGTTATGGGGAAAAGGGGTAACCCAAATACGAACGAATGCGCACAAAGGAGAGGGGTCTAAAATAAGTGGTTTTACGAGTTAAACCACTTATTTTGGGCTCCCACCACTGTACGCATTTGTAAATTTTTTGGTTACCTCTCCCCTAATACCCGGGTTTATGGAAGACCTTTTGTTCGAATTTCACTTTACTCAAACCGGGTTACTTAACCGAAGGATAATCTAAACCGGATATATTGTCCGATAGGACTACCTATTCCGTCAAACATTTTTGTTCGTGACAAAACAGTATTTCGTACCACTGATCTCTAAAGAGATCAGTGGTTGCGCTATCCAGTTATTATAGAGATCAGTGTTTCGTACGTGTCTCGTGAAAAGGAGGCTATTTAAAAATAGTGGTAACCGAACTTCGTAAAATAAACGTGGGTTAACGGCGCTAAACGAGTTACCGAGTTTTCAATTAATAAAATGATTTTACATTATTTTTGCTTATTTTTAATTCTATATGTTAATGGAGAAGAATTATGTCGAACATATGCAGGAGGACAAGTTTATCCTGATGAAAATAAACTTGGTGCAGAGCATGCATTACACTGGAGTAAAGCACAAAGTAAGTTTTAATACTTTTATATATGCCCCAATCAATCAACATGTATTTTTACTTTAAAATAATGTATATAAATACACAGCCAGGGATAATTCCATACGGCGGAGTTGAATTTAGTCGATGTATGTACACTACCTTTATATCTCTATTCTATCACTTGGTAGTCAACCTATATACACTCTGCTACCACTATATCTAGATAGTCAGTCGATGTATTTACTTAGTAAGTCTTGACTTTTAGGCTTTTGTATTAAAAACAAAGCTTATCGAATTTGGGGTGCGTCGTGTTCCATCGATGATGGCGATTTTATTCATCATTTTAAATGATGAATAAAATTACTATTATCGGTTTTATTCATCATTTAAAAATTATTAAGTATTATTTAATAGTAATACTTAAATAATAATTAATACTCGGTAACACATAGACAATTCATCATACATCATATTATGATGTATGATTCATAATCAGGCGCTACTCGACTTTCTCCCCCCCCCCCTGTCTTTATGATTGATTTTTTAGAGTACGTTATACTGATTCTAAATCATATAAAAACATAGGTCTAAAAACTTGAGGAAAGTACTCTAATTTGATGTTAAAGTATAAAAATCCACATTAAAAAACGCTAATATTAGGTACGTGGACTGATTTTTTTTTAAATTGATCAAATACTAGAATGTTATTTATCATTAGAAAGCCCTCAAATACAGTATTTCAAAGGTGAAAAAAAATATGAAAATCGGACAATTTTATCAAAAGTTATGAATTTTTAAGTAGCAAATTTTCGATATATGGATTTCTTGATAAAACTGTGGTTAAAAATTTTTTTTTTACATAAATTGTTATAACTTTGCTAATTCTTATTCAAATATCTATAACTTGGTATCAAAAGATAGGTGTAAAAAATTACAAGTCTATCTCAAAGTCGGGTGTTGGGTTTTGAATAAGGTTTAACACACCCTATCAAAATTTCATTCTTTTAAATATTTCAATCTTTACTAAAACAATTAATTTTAGTATAAAAAATAAAAAATATTTATTTTGATACTTGGAAAAATAGTAACTAGTGGTGTATAAATTGCCTTCATGGAAGGGGGTGTAAGCCGCCCCCTTCCGCCCAATACCTAAAAAAAAGTTTTAATGAGAATTTAATAAAATATGTGTAAAAATGCTTTTTAAACGCATATAAAATAGTATAAAAAACTATTTTACCACGTTACAGTGGTGTATAAATTGCCTTCATGAAAGGGGGAGTGAGCTGCCCCCTTCCGCCCTGTACTTAAAAAAAAAATTAATTAGAGTTTAACAAAAAAAGTTTAAAAATGCTTTTTTAAACGCATATAAAATCATTTAAAAAACTTGCTGTACTTATTTGCAAGCCACAAAACTTGCTGTACCCATTTGCAAGCCACAAAACTTGCTGTACCTAATTGCAAGCCACAAAACTCGCTGTACCTATTTGCAAGTCACAAAACTTGCTGTACCTAATTGCAAGCCATAAAACATGTTGTACTTGTTTGCAAGCCACAAAACTTGCAGAACTTTTTTTTTAAGCATTTTTACATTATTTCATATTCAAACTAAGAAAATATTAACTCATCTAATACAACATCAGCAGCTAGCTGGATTTTTTTCATCTTATGCTCAACAGCTTCAATATCAGTTTTATCTTGTTTCCAGTTAGAAATAGTGTAAATTCTATCATTTTGTCTTTTGCTTACTTTTTCTAGTCTACCATCATAAATGATAAACTTTGATAAGTCAGTATCATATCATTCATGACAGAGTTTTCTGCCAACAATTCTTTCAGACATCACATCATCTAAATCTTTATTCATCTTAAAGTTGTTTTGCAGATAAGTGTTTGTATAAATTCATCTTTTCGCTGATAGTTAAGATTTGAAAGCATTATGAAACATTTTATATAAACCCTTACAAAAAAAAAAATTAAAAACTTTTATTTAGAATTTGCTTATTTAAAATAAAATACTTTTATAAAATATAAAAATAAGCATTAAAGTTTTTCAAAAACGAAGAACAATCATAAAGAAATATTTAAATTTTTACATTAACCTGGAGAAGATTGTGCTGCAGGAACTAAAAGTTAAAAAATGATGTAAACAACAAAAATAAAATGAAATTGGGATTAAATCTATAGTATAATTTTAATGAGATAGACTACGCACTGCTAACAATGAAATAGTTTTTTAACATACCAACCAAAGAAGATGCAGCTAAAAATCAAAAAAATATATATACATATATAATTAACAAAATAAATGATTTTTTTAGAAAAATCAAAACACTGCTGAAAAATTATTCGTTTTTAAACTTACTATTTGTAAAAAGGATGTAATCAACCAAAAAAATATTTGATTTAGGCATTAAATTATTACAGAGATTGAAAAGTAATAGCTTTTAAACTTTGTAACTGTGGCAGATATAGATTAAAAAAAGGTGTAACCAAAAAAAAAAGTATTAGAAATTGGCCTTACATACACATATTACATACAAAGTGAACAAAGAAATAGCTTTTAAACATTCCAAATGTGGTAGATGTTGATGAAACTAAAAGTAAAAAAAAGCTGTAATCAATAAGAAAATTGAATTTGATATTAAACCTATAGTATAGCCATAACAAAAGAAATGATATCGACATCCGCAGCAGGTGTCGATAAAGCTTAATGTAAAAAAGGTGTAGTTAATAGAAAAAAAAGAAGGATGTAGATGCAACTAATATCACGAAAAGATGCAATATAAAAATAAACAAAAAAAAGTTGGAAATGGGATTAAATCAATACACTGCTGAAAAAAAATTGACTCTTAAACTTACCAACTGTTTCAGATGTAGGTGGAACTAAAAACAAAATGGATGTTATCCACAAAAAAAAAGGTATTGGTACTAAATCTTTCACAAGTTGAAAAATAATAGCTTTTAAATTTACTTTTATTTCGCAGTTGTTTAAGAAATGACTTGAGACAAAAAAACATGAATTAAACCAAAGCATACATCTTTAAATTTCTACTTATATAAACATGACTGAAATTGCAATATACAAACTTACCAGTGGAAGGCTGAGTTGACTGGACTAAAGTTAACAAGAAAACTATATATCAAAATAAAAAAAACACCTTAAATTTGACAACAGCAAGTGAATAAGTAACAACATTCAAATAAGTTCTGCATAATGTGCAACAACATTATTGATAAAGTATAAATGAAAACATAATTACACAAGTAAACATTAAGAAAGGTTGTATAATGATTTAAACAATAAAAGAAAGATTATAAAAAAGATATCTTTTGTATTGAAAAACTTTTAAGGCATCAAAATGTTTATTTTATTATGAATAACATTAAAGATTATATTGTTCATGTCATCCCTATATATCACTATTATCTACCATATCTATACATCTATACATCAGTATCATATCTATACACCTATATATCACTATCATATCTTATCTATACACTATACATCACTATAATATCACTATATGTCACTATCATACATCACTTACGGAATCTCAAAAACTGATGAAATGATAAGCCTGCATCTAAACAAGAAGGAAACATTAGAAATGTTTGTGTAATGATTTAAACAATCAAAAGACTAAGTATTATACAATAGATAAATCATAAAAGATTAACATACCAAATGTTCTCAATATAGATAAAGCTAAAGGTAAAAAAAATGTAAAGAACAAAACATACATAGTTTTTGTCAACAAATCTTTACATAGTTGTTTAAAAAAAAAAGTTTTCAAACTTACCAACCATAGCAGATGGTAACAAAGCTAAAAAAATTAACCAAAATAACTTTGATTTTGACATTAACTCTATGCAGATCTGAAAAAATTTACCACTGGCAGATGTTGATAAAACTAAAAGAAAAATAAAGTTTCATCAAATGAAATATAAAAAGGTATTAAACTTATAGTATAGCTTTAAAGAATAAGTAGAAACACCTAATAAAAAAATACTTATTTAACTTACCAACTGCATCAGATGACGATGAATCTAAAGTTAAAAAAGGTGCAATATAAAAAAAAAAATACACATTTTTGGCAACAAATCCCATAAAACAATTTTGTAATGAGCAAAGAAAAGTACTGCAGGGTTGCCACCAAATCAGGGAAATCAGGGAAATTTAAATACAATCAGGGAAAATCAGGGAGAAATGATTGATTTAGGAAAAAATCAGGGAAAATCAGGGAACTTTTTAATTTTTCTTTAATGTTTTGAAATAATTTCTAATAAAAATTTTCCTTTCCGAGGGTACCAGGGTTAATGTTAAATATTTTTAAAGAAAATTAATCACATTGTGTATTCATTTGCTCTTTTTTTAGAATAGTACAAATTTTTAAAATTTAAAATGACAACATATTTCAAAGAAGAATGGTTAAGTGATCCTTTGTTTGAAAAATGGCTGGTAATAGGCAGCGATAAAAAGTCAGCCAAGTGCAAAATATGCCAAGTTGAGTTTAATTTGTCAAATATGGGAAGAAGAGCTGTGATAAGTCACATGGATGGCAAAAAACATGCACATAAGGCAAAGCCAGTATCTTGCTTCTTCATGCCTGCACCGTCTACATCTAAAAAGCAAGCAATTCTTACAGTAGATCAATATGATAAATGTTGTGCAGAAATCTATTCTGTTTTAAATGCAGTACAGAATAATTTCTCATTGAACTCATGTAATGAAAATGGCCTACTTTATCAGAAAATGTTCCCTGACAGCAATACTGCTAAATCTTATGAAATGGGTAGAACAAAACTTGGTTATATAATTAATTTTGGTCTTGGACCTTATTTTCACAGACTTTTAACTGAAAATATAAAAAAATCTCCTTATTATACTGTTTCATTTGATGAAAGCCTTAACGATTCTTTCCAAAATTGTCAAATGGATCTAAATATTCGGTTTTGGAACAGCGATCTAAATCATGTTGAATCCAGATACTTTGACTCTAAATTTTTAGGTCACCCCACAGCAAA